CAATTGGAATGGATTATCCGGTTTTTTCCCTCATCCCCACGGCTTGGATCTGACCCACGGCGGCTACCTCAGCCATGGCTGGACTCCCTATCCAGAGAATATGTCAGTTTTCTTAGAATGGGAAACAATAAATGGAAATATTTAAATGCCAGCATTGATTTGGTTACAGTACAATTTTGTGCACTTGTAGCTATAATTAAGTGCCAACAGGTTCAATAAACTTTCTCCCAGATACATGGATGTAGGATAGTAGCATTAACATCATTATGGTTCTGCTTGTTAAGGATTACACCGAGGTATAATTGTAATCTACCTTGTGAAAAAATTTTGATCAAAGAATAAGTCTGTAAATATTGCAAATCAATCAATACACATGCACAGTTCTAAGACTCAAAGTTGTTATTATTTGCTGCACTACAAAGTTCTGTTTCTTTCTCATGGTGATGCTTTATATTTTATTTCTTTACATGCAGCTTATAAAATATTTGAGAAACTTAAGAGTTGCCCATAATAGATGATTTATCTCGGTCAGATGCTTTCCTTTACAGTGAGGAAAACAAGACAATTAGAAAGTGCCATGAACCAAGTCCAAACCACCGAGCATTCCACAGATAGCTTACTGTTCTCAAACTGGATAAATTTAAAATTGCTTGTAACTATGCAGGTGTGCAGGCTCACAGACCTCATGCTTTGGTGCTGCAGTGGGTCTGCATTCATTATTGAGGACATGATCCTGTAACCAAATACCAGTTAATAACCTTGAATAATATTTTGACCTTGTATCAGCTGCAAGGCAGGACAAAGGTCTTTGTCATACTTCAGCTGGTTCTTTGGAACACCTGCAATAAAAAAGTGTCTGTAAGAGCTCCTACGCTAATAACAATAATGAGGGACCATAGATTAGTATCTGCTGGTTCAAAAAGGGAAGGGGCCAGGAACTGGGGTCTTACATTCCTATGAAAATTTTATCCAATATTTATTTAGTTCAAAGTTGCATTGCTATATAGACATAAAGTATGTGGAAATAGGCCCCATTTAGTTCAGTGGGAGTTATTTAGAAGTCTCTGTGTGTGTCTGTTTGTGTGTGTGTGTGTGTGTGTGCATGCGTGCGCGCACGCACCCACCCACACCCCTATTTATGGAGGTGGGGGAAGCTGCAACTGGTGATGTCATAGATCCAGAAGTGGAGTGAAACAGGGCTCTGTCCTCGCGCTGACCCTGTTTGGGATCTTTTTTGTTGTCATGCTGAAGCACGCCTTTGGAACTGCAAGAGAAGGTGTCTTATCTCCAGACTAGATGAGATGGAAAAGTCTTTAATCTCTCTAGATTGAGAGTGAAGACCAAAGTCCAACTGAAATGCATGTGGGACTTACTCGTTGCCAATGATGCAGCTGTTGCTTATTCTGCTGAAGAGCTCCAACAGTTTATGAATCATTTTAGTAAGGCCCTCCAAGACTTTGGGTTAACAATCAGCTGAAGAAAACAAAGTCATGGGCCAGGGCGTGGAATCACCTCGCTCTATTACCATCTCTACACAAGAACTGGAAGTTGCTCATGACTTTGTGTAGCTTGGCACAACGATCTCTGACACTCTCTCTCTAGATGGCGAGCTGGATAAATGCATTGGCAAAGCAGCTACCATGTTCTCTAGACTCACAAAGAGAATATGGCTTAATAAGAAGCTGAGAGCATATACCAAGATCCAGGTCTATAGAGCCTGTGTCCTGAGTACACTCCTGTACTGCAGTGAGCCCTGGACCCTTTGTGCATGGCAGGACAGGAACCTGAACATGTTCCACATCCGTTGTCTCCGACACATTTTTGGTATCACCTGGCAGGACAAAGTTCCAAATAGAGTAGTCCTATAAGGACCTGGAATTTTTAGCATGTATACATTACTGAAACAGTGACATCTACATTGGCTCAGGCATGTCAGGAGAATGGCTGCTGGTTGGATTCCAAAAGATTTCCTGTATGGGGAGTTAGTGCAGGGAAATCTCCCCAGAAGGAGACCACAGCTGCAATAGAAGGATCTCCAAGTGGGATCTGAAGGCCTTAGGAATGGACCTCAACAGATGGGAAACCTTGACATCTGAGCGCTCAACCTGGAGTTAGGCAGTGCAGCATGGCCTCTCCCAATTCGAAGAGGCACCTGTTCAGCAGGCCAAGGCGAAGAGGCAGTCCCGAAACCAGCAAAATCAGGGAGCTGAACAGGGGACAGATTGTATTTGTCTTCAGTGTGGAAGGCATTGTCACTCTCAAATTGGTCTTGTCAGACACACCAGACGTTGTTCCAAGTCCTCTATTAAGAACACCTTACCATAGTCTCTTGAGACTGAAGGATGCCTACATCAGCACTGACAAGCTTTTATTCTTTGGAGAGAACAATGCTCTTGTACGTAACATATAGTTTTAGTGCACCTTGTGGAATAACTATAGAATAAGGAGCTTGGACATTAGTTAACTAGTGCCTACTGTGTATGGCAGTATATTTGTGGAGAGATGAGGAATCCTGTTTACTTACACTGAAACACAAAAACATGTACCTGAAACTGGATTTGTTTTAGTAGCTCAAGTGCTAGGTTTTCTTGTAGTGATAAAGCTTCTGAGTGATCTTGGATTAGTGTTTAGTGTTCAAAGAGTTCACAGTCATAATCCTTGTAAGAACTATATAAGGTAAACTGAGTGGCATTATCGCAGAGACTGTATAATTGATTCATGGTGCAGTCAATCCTGAAGTGGAGATTTAACTTTACCTACACTAGTTTCTTAGAGGAAAAGTGGGATACAGATGTGATTAATGCTTCATCCAGTCAAGACTGTATGTCATTATAAAGTGAATTAATCTTTGTACTTTCATATTTGGAGTCAATCTGGTAATGAGGAATTGCAGGGTTGATCACTTTCCCCTCCAGTTTGCTATCAGTTTTCTATTCTGGTAACTAATTATTTATTTGGCAGTTGCACTAGTGATCTCCTAGTGGTGGCCCCAGAATTTCCACAAGTTTCTAAATGGTTTTAGCTCAGGATCTTGTTGCTGATCATATTGGTCACAAAATGCAATTGTTTTGGGGGGTTGGCTTTTGTGTTTTGGGCTTAGCTGTTTATCTGGCCTTGCAAGCTGTGTCAGAGCAGAGTTGCATGAACTAGAGCTAGCACTCATGCGACCACAACATTGTTTCTTACTGGCACACACACTAGATTTCCGTTTCCATCCCATTGCAGACACTGAGTTTGTGTAATCACATTGTTCCCTGGGGAAGAAAGAGCTTGGTTTGCTACCACTGTACTGCAGCCTGCTGGCAACTGGGGCCTGGAGCTGTTGTCATGTAGGGTCTGCTGGCACATGTAGTTTGTCTGCTATCAGCCAGTGTAGTGCCTGGCTTAGTTCCATATGCAGTGCCAGCCTGGGCTAACATGGGCAGTAAGAGAAGCACCAACACTGGGTCAGTCTCAACTCTGTTTTCACATCTTCCTTTGCAATCAGTTCATAATAAAAGATAACAGATGGAAGCAAATAAGCAAAAGAGAAAACTGATGGCTTAAAACAATTTTTAGCTGGAATGCTATGAATAGCTATGAGACAACTCAAACATAACAAGAATGATTTGACAAACAGTATAATGTGGTAATTGACTAAGGCCCACAAGTTTAAATGCTTGACTTCATTTAATTAGATACGTAGTATTAATTAATATAATCTAATTATATGCTTAAACTAATTAAGAGTATGTACAGGATATTATAAATGTAATAGAAAGTTTCATATCAAAATAGAGATCTCTCTGTAGTTTAATAACTATATGTTGACCTTGTATATATTTCATCTAGAATATTTATGAAAACACATAAAATATTTCTTATTTATCATAATACTGTATCTCACAGGTTTAATAAAAAATGCTATGAAATCTCATTGGTGTCCTGCAAAGGACTGGCTAATTTGCTGTGCCTAACTGATAAGGTGCCAGGTGCCTGTTGCTCCTGGGCCTGGTCACAAGCTTAATTACAGTGGTGCACACCCAGTACCTTGTCAATCAGATGCAATTAGCCACAGCAGATTACACAGTCTCTCTGTGAATATCAGTAGATTCTGCCCAGCGTGCATACAACTATCATGAGAGAGGCAGTTTATTTTTTGTCAGTCAGTAACTTAATAGTGAAGCATACCCAAATGTACCAAAGCTGTCTTTTAAGGGCTGTGCCTGGAAGAGTCAACTTGCAGTATACAGAATTTTCAGTGAATGTTCACAGCAATTAAAGCTTAAGAGAATGGTAGTATGGGCAAGGAAGCTGAGGCTCAGTAGAATTTGCAGATGTCTACTGGTAAATGAGGGACGTGGTTGTGCTACGGGTTATACAGCAGAAGCCTCTGTGCTGCAAGGTCGGAAGACCAGCAGTCATAAGATTGAATCCACATGATGGAGTGAGCTCCCATCGCTTGTCCCATCTCCTGCCAACCTAGCAGTTTGAAAGCATGTAAAATGCTAGTAGATAAATAGGTACCACCATGGTGGGAAGATAATGGCATTCCGTGTCTAATCGCACTGGCCACGTGACCATGGAAACTGTCTATGGACAAACACTGGCTCTGAGGCTTGGAAATGGGATGAGCACCGCCCCCTAGAGTCGGACACGACTGGACTAAATGTCAAGGGGAAACTTTACCTTTGCCAGTAAATGGAAAATGTGATGTTTCTCTAAAGGTAAAGGTTCCCTTGACATTTAGTCCAGTCGTGTCTGACTCTAGGGTGCAGTACTAATTCCCGTCTCCAAGCTGTAGAGCCAGCGTTTGTCCGAAGACAGTTTCCATGATCACATGTCCAGCACGACTAGACACGGAACGCTGTTACTTTCCCACTGTGGTGGTTTTCTCTACTTGGTGACTAATATTGGTGCTTGAAACAAGCCTAATTTGTGATGTACTGCTCTTAGTGTAAATATATCAACATGCATTTTTTTTGTTCTAAGATTTCTCATCTTTTTGTTTCCTCCCCAAGATGCTGTTTGATAGAGGAGCCCTGCCAGTGAGACATATGTAAGGAGAACTGGGTGGAGGTAAGTACCTTATTCAACATGTTAAAGTAAAAATTTTGTTCATTCTTGAGAGTTTCATTAGCAGTATTTCAGATGAAAGCATGTTGAGGATATGTTGCGTTGTCTTCAGATGCGTTATTTACAGACTGGTTATTTGGGCTAACATCAAATGCTGTTCTTCCACTGATAGAACTGCTTCTGTAAGCAAAAGTAGGAAGGAAGTGATTCTCTTGCTTTTTCTCCCTTTTGTGATCCCTCAAATTGAGCGGACCTTCTGCTAGCTCAAAATTAGGTTTGAACCGTTGTACCGGGTTCCATCTTCTGTCTAAAATTGCTTGAAGCTCCAGTAAAAATGTGTATCAGTATTAAGCTTGGTAAGGGATGTGATGGCACTGTGGGTTAGACCACAGAAGCCTCTGTGCTGCAAGGTCAGAAGACCAGCAGTCGTAAGATTGAATCCACGCGATGGAGTCAGCTCCCATCGTTCGTCCCAGCTCCTGCCAACCTAGCAGTTTGAAAGCATGCAAATGTAAGTAGAGAAATAGGTACCACAATGGTGGGAAGGTAACGGCGTTCCGTGTCTAGTTGCAGTGGCCACATGACCACAGAAACTGTCTACAGACAAACGCTGGCTCTATGGCTTGGAAACAGGGATGAGCACTGCGCCCTAGAGTAGGACACAACTGGACTAAATGTCAAGGGGAACCTTTACCTTTTATTAAGGAGGGGTTTTTTTTGTCTTTCACTTATTGGGGTTTTTTTGTCTTTCACTTAGTGCAGAATTTTTAAAGCAGTCTGGTATGGAATTTTTAAAGCAGTCTAGAGCATAAAGCTTCAAACTAGAAATGCTTCTGTATTCAGCATTTAGTGAAAAATTGAGGAGGACTAACACATATGTTTACAGCATTAAAGGAGTTCTGCTAATGCACAGTAGAAAGACATTGTAGAAGTAGGCCTTACTTGCACCTCTGTTTCACAGCTACAAATGCAATGCATTTTCTCCTAGCATGTGGTGGCTCTTGAAATAGCTGCATTGTGAGATCTCTGTATGAAAGCACTATATGACAAGGGTTGTTATATGCCACAGGATCTGTTGTGTTTTCTTTTCAAAGCTCAAATTCTCCAGTTATTGCAACAGCTGTTCGCACCATGCAGCACTATTAGCACTTGTTAGGCTATCAAATCTTTACCAACATTATTATTTCTTTCACTAGATAAAAGTGTTTTTTTAAGGTTTTAAAATATTTCTGCATAATCAGGGTTAAAAACTTTCATTTTAAAACTGTTTAAAAATGAATTTAGAAGTTAATATGACCTTTTTGACATGGTCACAGACATAGGTGCTTATGAATCCCATGCAGTGCAGCAGTCTTCAGATCTTTTGAAGTTCTCGGTATACTGTATAGTTATATTGGTTGTCAGAGTAGTTAGCCTATGGGTAAAGTTTGTAGTACTTTATAATAGGTGGTAGATTGATGCATAATTTGGAGGAGGAGGAAGAGTTATCTTAGAACTGCAGAGCTGGAAAGGACAGTTTGGATCATCAGATCCCTCCCTGTCTAAGAGACACAGTGGAGAATCAAACCCCTGACTTATGGTTCTGCAGCCATATAGCTAAGTCACTGAGGTATGCAGAATCCTGAGAATCAAAGTGTGTGCTCTACATGCATTATGTGTTTGTAGATGTACCCACTCTCCCAAGAATTCTGCAGTACTGAAATTTTCACATTGCTAGACTAGTATTTCTGGTTACAGTGCATACAAGTATAAACATGGAAAAGTAACATCATTTTTATGCATAATATTAGCCTAACAGCCCTAGTACCTAGTTGATGAACAGAGCTTGCAAAGTGTTCACATTGCAGTTGTAGGATCTTGGTTTTACTTCCATGTTTGTCTTGATATTGCACATAAGCCCGGTATGAGTAGCAAAAGTGTCAGCTTATTCTGGCAATATCTCCCTTTAATTAGGAATATCAACACATAACATGTGAATTTGAAACTGCTTTACATCCACTTTCCATCATTTGTGTATTTTGTTTGAAGGGTGACATTTCAAAGTATTAGGATTGTCAAAACAAAAATCCTCCAGAACTAGATCCAAGTTGTGTCATTCTGCAACATCATAATGGTTCTTAACATAATCTGTTGGATGTTTTCCTCCAGTAGACTTCTCTTAAAACTGCTGCTTATGCCAAGACTGTGTTTTGGTCATATACTCTGGTTTATCATCCTGCACAGCTTTTGCATGTTATATTTTTAACCACGTTAAGAGTGTGACTTTTTCTCAATGTTACCTCAATTAATTTTCTCCTTCTAGACAAATTAATTTGACTTTTCTTGCCTAGCTCATCACTTACATTCTTATAATATTATATGGTTGTAGCTGCTTGTTTATTTCTCTTAACCAAAGTGAAATACTCCAGGAGCAAACTGTATTGTGTGTTTTTACAAGTCTTTACTGATCTTGGGTGCTACTGTCATTTTTTTGCTTAAGTCTAAAAAAAGAGAAGTGCTTTTTTACTATAAAGAGGTCTTGGATTTACAAAATCTTTCAGCACTGGTTATATGGCATTTGAAAGCAAAATATTTTGCAGTTCATTACCATGTTTGTGGTAATAATTATTTCTGTCTTAGACACCATGGTGATAGGTGCTATGTCCAATATAATGAACTGGAATGCAAACTTGAAGCCTGGGTAATAGTGGGTGCAGTTTTGACTAAATCATCCTTGGCTTCCAGCGTAATACTTATTGCCTGAGAGGAGTGGCTTTGGTTTATTATAGAATTTGGTTCTAAGTTTGCAGACAGTTTTTCAGAGCTTTCACACTTCATTTCTGTCTTAGAAAAATAATCACAACAAAAACAAAACATTAATAATTTATAATTATAAGCTTCACAGTAGAAAATGCACTTTATCTCCATGGTAAAAGCATCATTTAAATAGTGGAAGAGGAGAGTAAACTAGTTGCATGCTTTCATGTGGATTACCTTTTTTGTGCATGAAATGATATAATTGTAGGTTTTTTGTTTTAATATTAGATAAGCATGAGATCAACGTGGCACAGCTGCATGTGTATTCACTCTTGAAACAATTGCACACTTTATTGGCTGACAATCTTGGCATTTTTAGCAAAAGCAAAATTTTAAAGATACGGGACATCTGTGTTTGATTTGACAAATAAGCTTTTTGGGTGTCATCTGATGGAGCCTTCTGGTGGTGAACAACTTTATGATGATCCTGACCTTGGAGGCAAATCTCAAGATCCAGAGACCAAAAGGCAGCCTGAATCAGAGCAGAAGCTGTCAAAAATTACCCACAATGCCCTGGAGAACATTAATGTGATTGGTCAAGGCCTGAAACATCTCTTCCAACATCAACGTAGGAGGTCATCAGTATCTCCCCATGATATTCAACAAGTTCAGGTTGACATGGAGCCTGAAATGGAAATGGAAAACCAAAGCACCTGTGGTGAAATTGACGGTGTCTCTACCCATCCTACAGCTCTGAACAGAGTGCTCCAACAAATCAGAGTGCCACCTAAAATGAAGAGAGGAACAAGTCTCCATAGCAGGCGGGGCAAGTCAGACCCTCCAAAGGGAAGCCCCCAAATCAACAGGAAGTCTATCCAGGATATTTATTCAGGACGTCCCAGATCTTCATCAACTACAGATGCCCCTACAAATTTGTCAGTGCTGGAGATGGCCTCTCCTGTCTGCCTAGTTGGTGAAGAGATTGCATCAGCAGAGCGGGTGAGTTCTGTTTACATTGGAATGTGCTTTTGTTCTCAGATGGTTATGTGCTTCTTAAAAAAAAACTGACTTGTGAAACTAGGAGCCAGAGCAAAATCTTCATGTATTTGTGCATCTGTATTAAAGGCGCACATAAAATACAAGCTTGTATAAATTGTGCTTTTAGCAAGAAGAGGAGGTAGCAAATCAGTGCTATTGCTTGTCTGCAGTGGAGAATTTTAGATTTTAACTTAATTCCCAAACTCCCCCCCCCCAAGTTTTTAGTTTGAAGGAGTAATAGAAACTCACTATGCAGATTAATTGGAAGATGGTAACATAATTTCAGGCACTGAAATATTTTTACAGTAAGTCTAATATCAGGATGAATTTAAGATGAATGGATTTGTAGAAAGTAATCCATCTTCTACAATATGAAATTTTAGCACTGCAGATTAATACTGTTGTGCTTGGTGAGAGGATTTTCTTGGTGATGAAACATTGTGTGTAGTATTGGAATTTTAGTGTCTATTCAGTTGTAACTTTCAGTTACCTGTGTTGAGTCAGTGGCCTGAATAAGAAAAGTATCAAAACCTATTTATACCAATAATTCTGTTGAACTCAGAGTTGAAAAGTTCTCCTTATTATATTCTGGGATCCTCTACAGTTTTAAAAGTCAGTTTAAGGAAAAAAAACTACCTTGTCAGTTTTAGCTTGAGGAATTGTATATTAATATTGTATTGGGTGCTCTCAAGACAGAAATTGACATCTGATTAAAATGTGATTTTAGATTAAAATTTGTTCACCACTCAGAACAATTATTCCATGATGCAAGAACTAAAATGCAAATGGTGACCCATTAGTAGAGATTATTTTAAAGATCCCAATAAGAAAGTATGATATTCAAAAGATGGAAATATAGTACAGCTACTTTAGAATCTACTAATTGTAAGCCATTGTGTTCTGAAGGTAACTGTTTCACCAGATGAACTTGAATCTCACTATTCAGAATACACAATCTGATGTGAAGGGGCTGCCAAGAAAAAATGTGTGTGATTCTTATTTCAAGAGAATTTGAAATATATTGCCTTATCTGTTGCCAAAATCAAGGGATGGAAGGATTAGAGATTGCTGTGGCAGCTTTATAGCTATGTTACCTTGTTAACTCTGTTGCATAAGAGCTTCTTCAGGTATCTTGTTTCAGATCTGTATTAGAGTGTAAAAAACAGATTGTGCATTTGGATGAACTCTTGTGACATCTTGGAGTAGTTACTATCTTGAAAAATAAGTATTCAAAAGTATTCAGTTCTAATTTCATACAAAGAATAAGAAGTCATTATGTTGGAAACCAGCAATATCACATAAACTAGTACAAGAGGTAATGAACAAGGATAATTTCTAGACGGGAGAGACATATATTATTAAAGATATCATTAAAAAGGGGATTGAAAATAAAACAGCCAACTTTATAATGGCATTGTACAAAACGCTGGTAAGGCTGCACCTGGAGTATTGCATACGGTTCTGGTCGCCACACCTCAAAAAAGACATAGTGGAACTGGAAAAGGCGCAGAAGAGAGTGACTAAAATGATGACTGGGCCGGGGCAGCTCCCTTATGAGGAAAGGCTACAGCGTTTGGGGCTCTTTAGTCTAGAGAAAAGGCACCTGAGAGGGAACAAGATTGAGACCTATAAAATGATGCAGGTGGTGGATAAAGTGGAGAGTGGGAAGCTCTTTCTCACGCAATACTAGAACCAGGTGACATCCACTCCAATGAGTGTTGGAAGAGTGAGAACAGACGAAAGAAAATATTTCTTTACCAAGCATGGTGTTAGTCTGTGGAACTCCTTGGCACAGGATGTGGTGATGGCATCTGGCCTAGATGTCTTTAAAAGGGAATTGGACAGATTCCTGGAGGAAAAGTCCATTGCAGGTTAGAAGCCATGATGGGGATGTATAATCTCCAGGCTTAAAAGGAAGGTACCTCCAAATGCCAGATGCAGGGGAGTGGTCTCAGGAGATAGGTATCTAGTTGTCTTGTGTGCTCCCAGAGGTATCTGGTGGGGGACCATTGTGAGATACATGAAGCTGGACTAGATGGGCCCTTGGCCTGATCCAGCAGGCCTCTTCTTACATTCTTATGTTAAATAAAGATATGTGTAGAGAAAAGCTTTTGCATAGACAACTAGGAGTAAGTGACTCGTCAGTAAAACAGGGTAAGAGAAAAAGCTAGTGTTGAGTAGTGAAGATAATAGCAGGAAGCCAGAATGGTTGAATGAAGTAAATCTGCTTGGAGACAAGTTACATGCAAATACCAGCTCTGTGATTTGTCCTGTTGGTGGTTTTTTATTTTTTATTTTATGAAAAATGGCAATTGTCAGATTAGATAACTGACGTTTGGCCCTCCCTAGGCATCCTACAGAATTTATAAATATTTGGGAGCAAAAATCAGAAGCCTGTGTTTATCACATCTGTCATTTATCCCAGTAAACTCCAGAATAAACCAAACAGTCAAAAGCAAAGCAAAAAAAATGTGCTGTTTATATATCACTTCTTAGTGTTTAAATCACTCTCTGGACAGTTTACAAATTAATTATGCACAATTGCCCCCTCCCCGGGTACTCAGATTTACTGACCTGGGAAGGATGGAAGGCTGAGTCAGGCTGGAACCTGAGCCCATCAGGGCATGAGCACAGACTTGACTACAATCCTTTGTTTATCCAATGTGCCATGACAGTCGTTGACAGTCATATCACCATTCATCTGAATATATGTTTTTTTTCATTGTTGCAGTAATTCCATGCAACATCAACTTGTCTAATTCTACAAGCTTTATTTACCTATATTACTTCTATATTCCGTATGCACAAAATACTTCAGAAATGTTGTAAAATACAAAAGTCTTGCAGCTATGAACAAATAGCACTCAAGACAGGTTACAAGCTAATAAAGGAATAAAAACATTTGAAACCAGATTTAACTGTAGAGTTATAATACAGTCGTGCCCCGCTTTACGATTACCCCGCATTACGACGAATCTGCTTCACAACGATGTTATGATGGTCTAAATAGGGATTTTTTGCTTTGCAATGATCGGTTCCCTGCTTCGGGAACTGATTCTTCGCAAAACGCTGTTTTTTAACAGCTGATCAGCGGTTTCAAAATGGCCACCAGGTAATTAAAATGGTTCCCCGCTGTGTTTAGGAATGGATTCCTCGCTATACAGGCAGAGAAAATGGCCGCCGTATGGAGGATCTTCGCTGGACAGTGAGTTTTTAGCCCATTGGAACGCATTGTAAGGTTTTCAATACGTTTCAATGGCCTTTTTTATTTTCGCTTTACGACATTTTCGCTTAACAGCGATTTTCCTGGAACGGATTATCGCCGTTAAGCAAGGCACCATTGTATATAAAATCAACTTCTACTGTAGAAAAACATTAAAATCAAATAAGTGCATTAAAACCATTAACATCAACGAAGAATACATTTAAAAACAGCACAGTATGGCATATTAACATCATATGCCAGTCCAAAAAGATGTGTTTTTATTCCCTTCTTAAAATCAGTCAGAGTGAAAACTGAAAATCTTAATGGACAATCTTATAATGAGACAGGCAGTTCCGTAGATTGCCAGAGTCCAAACTGATTAGAGATTTAAATGTTTAAACCAACACCTTGAATTGGGCCTGGCAAACAACTGGCAATCAGTGCCAGTCTTTCATTACCTTTGATGTATAGCTGCAGTTTCGTGCACTCATTAACAACCTAGCTGGTACATGTTTCACCAGCCGAAGATCCCAGACCCTACATGTCGAGCATGTTGTAGTAGTCAAGATGTGATGTTACTAAGGCATGTATGACTGTTGCTAAATCCAGTTTAGTCATGAAATGTAGTTGGTGCACTAAACAGAGTTTTGCAAAGGTACTCCTCATCATTGCAGTTACTTTGGAAATCTAGAGATAGCGCAGTCAAGGAGCTCTCCCAGACTAGAAATTGACTTGTTAGCAGGAGTGCAACTTCATCTAGAATATGTTAAATCCTGGTTCAGAACCTGATTTTTTTACTGATTAGCAGCAGCTCTGTCTTGTCAGGATTTAATTTCCTCTTGTTCACTTTCATTCCGCCCATTATTAGATTCAGGCTACATTCAAGCTTCCTGACTGCTTCCTAGGTGTTGGGTGACAGAATAGCACAAATCAGCACATCTCATCAGCACATCAGTGACACCTCACTCCAAAGTTGTCCGTGATCTTTCCCAGCAGCTTTGTATAGATGTTTAAAAACGTACAAATTGGAGCCCAAAGGCTATGGTGTTGAGCACTATTTCTTTTTTCTGGTCTCTGTGATTCACACCTATGACTACTTCTGCACCTGCACAGCCAATCTCAGAAACATTCTGGAGCTTTACCTCCTTCTCTCCATCCTTGGTTGCTCATCAGTTCCGTCTAGACATTAGATAATATAAGGGACAAGGCGGAAGACAATGGTCCCCATCTTGTCATTATAGGGACCTCTGTAATACATTTCCTCCAGTACCTATCCTACTTTGATAATCCAACGAGATACTATGGTTAGTGATATCGAAAGCAACAAGGTCATCTACCAAGGCATAGGTCATCTACCAAGCAGTTCCATATCATGGCTGAAAGTCCAATTTAAATGAATCCAGATAATCATTGTCATTTAGGACATGCTGATTTGCACATTTTGTGGGAATGTGATCTGTTGTTAGGAGCCTTGTGGCACAGTGATTAAACTGCTGTACTGCAGCCAAAACTGTGTTCGCAACCCAGGGTTCAAATCCCAGGTAGCCGGCTCAAGGTTGACTCAGCCTTCTATCCTTCTGAGGTCGGTAAAATGAGTACCCAGCTGTGTAGCCTGCATAATTAACTTGTAAACCGCCCAGAGAATGCTTGAAGCAATATGGGGAGGTATATAAGCAGCAGGCTTTGCTTTTTGCTTTGCTTTAAATTAATACTGGATTGCTTTTTATTGTGGAAAATGTAAGGGCTGTTTGTCTTTTATTAACAATGTGGGTAACATTTTAATTTAAGTCCTGACCAAATGTTGAAAAGCTAATCTTTGGAAGGAACTTCTTTCCTCGTGATGTCATCTTCTTATATATTTTTTCTTTATATTGAACTCAGGTACCTTGGAACATAATTTCTGCCACTTCCTTTAAAAGCTTATCTATTTCTAATTGGAAATTGATGGAGCAGCAAAAATATACCCAACAGGGTGTTTATTTAGATTAGAATAACCTTTTCAAATATGAAGGTGATCCCAGAGAGAAAGTGGAAAGGGGTTTCAAACTTTCTCCTTTCCATTCTACTAACTGCTAATAGAATTTGGCCTAGAGCAGGGGTCTCAAACTCAATTTACCTGGGGGCCGCTAGAGGCAGAGTCTGGGTGAGGCTGGGCCGCATCAGATTTTCC